GAACCGGCCGAGAGCTCGACTCCTCCGAGACTCTGGCTGCTCCGCCGTACGCGGTGGCCGGCGGCCGCGGAAACCCGAATCACCCCATAGAGTTCTGCCGTTGAAAAATAAATAAAATTAAAAAAAACCCATGATTTAGAGAGAGAAAAAAATTATTGAACGAGACCGTCGCAGTCAAAAACCCGCTTCTTCGTGTAAAACTATTATTCGTTTGATTGTGGCGGTTTCATTCGATAATTTATTTGGAGGGGTTTTAGAGAGAGAAAGTGGGGGAGAGGGAAACCTGGGAGGAGAGAGAAAGAGAGGAGAGAGAAGAAGAGGAGCTTTTTGGAGTCCATTAAAGGAGCTTGGAATTGGAAATGGGAATCTCTTTGCCAAAGAAATGGAGTGTGAGAGACTGTTCTGTAATGGGTTATATAGGAGATGAAAAGAATGGCAATGGACAAATGATAATCTCACCTGCCCTTCAGTTTCCCTACGTCAACCACTCCCATTTCAGAAATTTTTGCCCATACGCAAATATTTAAACATCCCTAAGCTACAAGTTGTGGCGTTTAAGGGTTGTTTGGCCTAATTGTCCTCGTAAAAAAGAATCTTTTTAATGAAATTTTGGTAAATCTAAACTCTTCTTTTTGAAATACCGATAGTAAGTTCCAATCAAACGTTAATACGTGGCATTTTTCAGTATACTGATGTATGTGTGTATGTGTCTCAGCTTGGATCCGTACGTTAAGAAAGAGGAAAGAGTCAACAGGTTCAGAATCGAGCTCAACTCGATTGACCTAGAGAAAATTACTATTAGTTTGAAATTTGCTAATAGCTGGTGAGACGTTATTTTTGCTAGCACCAAACTACTGACTATTGTTGGTAGATTCACTTAATGAAGATGAGTCTTGCCCTAGTAAAAGTACGCAATCTCTTGTATTTAAGTAAGCTTAATTCAACATCATCTTTGACTAAGTACTAACTTAAGCTTCAGATAGTAGTCGAGCACCACACCAGTGCAAGGTTATGTTTTCAAATTGCCAACTAAGTCCATGTTAGAGTTCATGCTGTATCGTCTGATGATGTGGCACACAAACTAAGTTAGAATTGCGCATAAATGACATATATAATTGACTAAAAAGTTGAAGGTTCGAGTCTATATCTCCATGCATTGAACTATAAATAAAATCATATAAGCATAATCTTTTATTTGATTAATTTTTTTAGAATATTATATTACTTGAGAAGGAAATTTTGAATCTATGACCCATAAAGCAACTTATATTAGTGAGATTGAAATAAATAATGAAATGTATATTTAACAGAATAAAATAAACGTAAAAAGTGAACGAAGATATACAAGAAATGAGGAAACTTATATATTGAAATTGTCTTTTCTTATAACACGAGTTAAAACTTAAAACATCTCTAATCTATGTACTATAAAAGTCAGGATCAAGAAAAACATTTTTTTAATCATTTTTCGCTCTTTCTTTTTTATCATTTTCAATATAAATTTGGGGACGAAATAGTTATTTTCCATGCCACTATTGAATTTCGCATTTCTATAATTATGAATAAACGTTTATTCTAATAAATAAAAACAATCAAATTTAAAACTACCAACATAGTAAATGTTCCATGAATACATAATATAATTATCCAAATTATTGCCCCATGCTTGTGCAATGCAATAAATAAATAAATAAAACGTCAAATTAATTACAAAACTCTCACCCTTAAATCAATTACTCATAAAAACGCCAAACAATTCCACTTCAAATTCCAACATTAAAATTAAATTATCGAGTCAAATTTGAAACAACCAATATGGTAAATGTTCCATGAGTTTCGCTATTACTTATATAATTACAAAAATTATTACCACATCATTTGTACAATGTACTAAAAATGAAACAAAACGATCAAATTTATTACAAAACTTACCCTTAATCAATTATTCATAGAATCTCATAAATTACCCTCTTTATTTCTTCCTCTCTAAATCTCCATTGCCAAACAAAAACTCATTTTTTTTCTCTCTCTACTTTCTCTCTCCCCTCTTATTCTTCACATTGTTCAATCCTTTGGATCGGAGACCCCATTACCACCCCCTGGCCAAGGCCCTTCGCCGCTACATCCACCACTAATAATTTATTCTTCAGTAGTTTAAAATGTTTCTGTCATAGACTATAGATTTGAATCAATTTACTCATGTTTCTGTCATTGACTATAGATTTGAATCAATTTACTCTAATTTATAATGTAACATTTTTTTAAACTATGGATTATCAATATTCATTTGGGGTTTCATCTCAACTCTCAAGATCGTGGCTCTTTTGGTTCATCGATCTTGGCCAGATCTCATTTTTAGGGCAACGGCTCGTTTTGAGCGTTTTGAGCTCTGATACCATATCAATATTTATGGAATTCCATTTCAAAATCAACTGACAATGGGAGGAGTAGTCCATATTTTAATCATTCTAAGGTCTCTTTTCTTTTCAACGTGGGATCCTTAATATATGGGTATCACCCAAACACTTTAGATTAAGGTCTAAAAACAAAAGAACTGTGTAACCCATGGAGCCTGTGGAGTTTTGGTCATTTTCTTTTTTGGGACTCAAATAAAAAATCAAAATAAAATTTTCCTTCATGTCATGCATCGTTTACCTTTAAGAACGAAGAAGGGTCAAAATATAGAGATATGTGTTAAGTTTTTTTTTTTAAAGAAATATATGTCTTAAGTTGTTTATTCTTAGTCGTATTTTATTTATAGAAAAATTTCATATCAATGGATTTTAGGATTTAATGTAGCGTCAATTTTGTGTTAGCAACGAAGAAAGAAAATAATAATATAAATATGGAGAGATAAAAAGAGTCCAAGTATATTATAAATTTTAATTATTTAATTAATTTTTATATGGTTCGATGAATCCATATTTATGATGTGATATTCTAAAACCAAAAAAAAAGGGTTGGACGGTCTAAACATAAATGTAGGGGTAAAATGAAAAAGAACTTAAAGTCAACCACACTCAAAAGTCAAAGTCATTTTCTTAAATTGTGTTATTTTCGGTGATTTTTTATTTGAATGGTGTAAATATAGCAAAACCTTCATATATCCATAAAAATAATAAGTTCGGCCCAATACTAAAACCCAGCCCATTGGCCCATAATTAGGACAATTCTGATGCGGTGATGTCATACCGACACACAATATTACCGTATTATTTTTATAATCCTTCCAAATTCATTTTTACCCATAGTTAGTCGATTTTTACTTTAAACTTAAACTCTAGAGTATTGTAATTAATGTCTCTTCAAAATTAAATAAAATATTGCCGGTAAATCATACCAAATTTAATTAGCAAACCACCTAACATCATATCACGAAAATGTCTAAATCCAACTAAGACAATTTCCGAAACTAACTACAAAATATCGAGTAGGTAAGAAATGCTCAAAGCTCAAACTAAGTAATTAACGAAAAAAGTCTTTTCCTACCATCTTAGTCACAAATCTTCACAAGAAAATAAAAATTTAACTAATTGATGGTATTACTATTAACCATTAAATTGAAATACTCCTTTGATTCAAAATTTAATGTTTAAGATTATAACAATTGATTTACTAATATAAGCTTATTTTTATGAAATAATATAATGTTTGTCGATCTTTTTATTCTCTTTTACCATCTTCTCTCCTATATTAATAGTCAAAACTTTTCTCTCTTCTAGAGAATAGTAGACTCGAACATTTATAATAGGTACTTTATAGAGATTATCAGTGCTTTAACTAAAGTTACGCTCGAATATATTTGAGAGTTATTCTAAATTTAAAGTTAATTTTACATTAAAAAAATAAGCAAATTAATTTTTGGGGGAGATTTTAGTAATTTCATTTGATGTACTCACCTAATTTTGATTCATTAATTTTAATTGTTTAATAATAATTAAAATTATAATATCATGTGATAATTGATATGAATAGAAGGGGTGAGAAATTGGGTGAAGTTGACCCAAAAATAGTGGCCTGACCCTTCATGATCCCTTGCACTCAATATTTGGCCCATAACCCACTAGGGCTCTATAAATTAAAAAAAAAAAATCAAATATAGACACTAAAATTTAATTATAATGACATCAACCTTAATTTTTAGTTTTGAAATTGTAATGATACTTAGATGTGAGTGATAAAAGTGAGAGGATGACTTAATATAGTGTCTGTGCCGTATGAGTAATGTATATTTAAAATGGTTGTAATATATTGATACTCTCGGAGATAGAGTCATTGATTGGACAAATGTCTACCAAATAGAGCTTCCTTATACCGAGTCAGAAAATTAAAATAGGTATCAATGATAGACAAGAGATATGTTGTCATGTTCGAACTAATAGATATTTAATTAATCATCGTTAAAATGAGGCACGCGTCTTCAAATGACTTACCCATTTATGGCCAAGCTACTTTCAATGATTGAGTAATGCATATTTAGTCCGAGATTTGTATTGAACGAGTGATGTGTACTTCTAGTAATAGTGATAGATCAAGACTCTAGAAAAAGATAAAAGGCATGAGTTGGAAAAAAGTCTACCAAATAAAACTCTGTAGTACAATGATAGACAAAAGATATGTTACTCTATGCCAACTTGAACTCAATTAGTTATGACACTTATCTCTAACCAAAATGTCGTGAGTTAAAATCTACACCCTACATGTTTAATTAAAAATATATATATTACCATGTTCGAGCTAAGAAATATTAAACCAACCATAATTAGGATGAAATATGAGTTTTCAAATGATTTACTCGAGCTATAACGACACTATAAAATGATCAGCTCGTGGTATTTTTATTTTTTAAATACAATATGTGAGGTGAGAGATTAGAACTCATGACCTCTGAATCGAAATATATATTTTTCAACCCATTGAGCTAGATTCTCGCTCGTGATATTTGGACTTGATTTAACCTCAAGTTTTGAAACAAATTTAGATTATTATTATTTTTTTGTTGGTTAGATTACTAATAATACTAAAATTTAACAAATTTCTAAAAAAAAAAAAAAACTAAAATTTAACAAAAACAAAACCTATAAGTTTTTTTGGTCTAATATGCCCCTCATCCAAAACGTACCGCTTTGATCGGCTCCGTTCACCGCACGTCGGAAATCAATGTCGTTTCGGTCCTTACAGTGGAAGGAAGGCCGAGTTCTAGGGCTTTCTCCCATCAGCTTCCTCATACTCTCTGTAAGTGATATTCTGTGTTCTTCATCTTCCGAAACCCCGTTTTTTATTGATCGCATTTGCGTACAATATTCATTGCAGATTGAATCTCGTTTGATTTTGTTTCTTTTCGCGAATGCGATTCTCCTGATTTGAGTTCAGGTTTAATCGAATTTTTGCAAAATTAATAGCTGAAGAAGCATTTCCTAACCATGTTTCGAAATCTGGTGGTTTTGAGTCCGTGGCTGCTTAAGCAGCATCTGCTATGTTCCCGAGCAAGAAGATGGAATTTCTTTTGCTCCTATTAAGAAATTTTCTGTTCATAGGGGTTCCTTTTGTTCATTGTGCGTCCAAATGCCTGACATTTTGAGTTCATAGATGATAATTTTTTGCCTTCGGTTGGTTTTTGTGGGCGAAATTTAGCTTAATACACTTGTTGATGGAGGAAGTAAGATTTATCGAGTTTGCATTTCACTGGAAGATACTAATTTTGACAATGGTCTTCAATTGTAGTGTTAATTTTTTGCTTTCATCCATCATTTTCTGTTTGATCCGTGAGTCCTCAACTACTAGGGAAAGAATCTTGTAATCTCCTGTAATAATAAGTTGGAAAAACTAAATGGTAAAACAATAGAGAAGTCCTTGAAAGACTAAGCTTGTGAAATCTCACATTTGGAATTAGATTTGGAAGCAGAGGCACTATTTTACTAATATGCGATTTTAAGATGCTTACAAGGTCAGGATTACATGCTTTGAAGAAAGAGTTTGGATGTCAAGCCTTCTCTTGTGGAAGTTTTTTTTAGGTGCGAGCGCGTCTATTTCTTTATTGATTAATATTAACATTGTTCTAGATAACAAAAGTGGTACTTGTTATGTCCTCTTGTCCAACATTGTATTCAACTTTAAACTGCAATTTTCTACATGGTTGAACTTGGGTTTTCTTTAAATTCCCGTGAGCTGAATCAGAATGTTTGCAGTCAATTCAGTTAATTCGTTTTTAGTCTGTTAATTAGGAGTTTAGTAAATTAGCCAATTTTAATCAAACATAAAAGAACACTTAATTATTTGGTCTCAGATGATTTTCTGAATAGCTCTAGGAATTATTTTTCATTTTATTCTTCTATTATCTTTGGCTTATCGGGTCCTATCTTGCTTTTCAGTTTTCTGTTTAAGCCTTTAGAAATCGGAGTGCTACTGTACATCTTTTTTGATTTAATGTTGTTTTGCCCATGGTTAGAAAATATGTTCATGGCTCAATATTTCAAGCATAATCAATATGAGGCAGTAGCAATAATTCATTTTCTATTCTCTTACATGTTTAATGATGTGAAGAACATTTTTCATTTCATTGTTGAAAAAGTTGCATGTGGCCAAAATATATAAACGAGTCTATTGGACCTGTATGGTAACTTCTTTTGTATTGTATTTTGAGATCTTGATCATTTTAGCTTTGACATTATGCACTCCCCCCCTTTCTACATGTTCTCGGTGGGTTCAATTATTCCCCTCTTCACTTGTATTATAGGTATGTTCAAGTATGGCTTGCATTTGGCTGCATAGGACAATGGTGAATGATTATGGCTGTAAAAGAAGAACTCACAGTTGAAATTCGTGACATATGAAGTTGAGAAAGCTGTAATCACAGATCATCTCATCGACAACATTGCGGCCCCCCATTCACAAGCCAAACGAGATTCTCATTGTTGCCAGGTGGAATCTTGTTAACAAACACAATTATTTTCACTTTGCCTGTCAATATGCCACTGATCAATAGCTTGAAATTATATTTCCATGGCCAATCATTGATATCCTCCTTGCCACTTCTTTATGCCTCCTAAAATATAAGCAATATCCTATTGGATTCATGACGATGTTTCTTCAGTAAACTGATGTCATTTTCTTGTTTTTGAAACTGTGGCTCTGATGTTAACTACACTCCTGTTAAATTATTTGATTAATTGTGCCCACCTATTAAATGAATGTGAACAAATAATGGTGGCCCCTCATTTGTCCCGGATAAAGAGATCTATTGGCCTTATTAGTCACTGGATAAAGAAATTGGCTTTTGCTTTTCCCTTAATCATACATCTTTTGTAAAGCCCTCTTTATAATAGTATGATCTTGTGAGAAGACTTTCCTTCCTCTTCAATATCATGAGCTTAGAAAATATGCTTATAGGGTTAGGCTGGCTAGTTAAGAACTTATTGGAGGGTTAGGCTGGCTAGCTAAGAACTTATTGGTTAGAAATGGGTGTAGATTTTTTTTTGGATATCTTCGTCGTCAGGAAAGTAAAAGATGAACAAGTCCTCAAGGGGTAGTTGGCAAGGGTTTGTGGTCTCTTGGTCATACCGGCTTAGAGGTCTTAAGTTCAAACTTTCTGTCGAGCTTAATACCAAAAATCCTTGATGTCTCCTGGGTCTTGGAACGGGCGCAGATGTCCCTAGGTAATAGGGGAGCAAAGCTCCAACTCCTGGTTAATTAAAAAAAAAAAAGAGAGTAAAAGATGAACACGATTGAGTTTCTGTCTGAGGACGATTCTATTTTGGTGGCATCTTGCCCCTAATTGATAGAGGGGGATTCAATTTGTTAAGCAAGAGTCACCCTTTTACTCATCTCGTCGTTTTTCTTCCCCCCAAACAGAGGATGATGAGGTTGCGAGGGAATCAAGCTGAAGGATCTTGATTGTAGTCAGACTTTGGTGAGAAACTTTTTCTCCTAGTAGATCTTTTTGGGTACAATAAGTTGGATTTTATTCATTAGTAATCAGTATAAATAATCAATAATGCTTGTCTAATATTTGCAAAATCTGAACAGGAATATTAAAAGTTTAAAACACCAAAAAAGTGAACCCAAGCAATGGGTTTAACTATTGATAAAAAGGCTATAAAGCAAAAGAAAAAAGGGTTTGAGTTTTACTTCCCTCTCTTCATTATGCCCCACCTTGATCTCATCTCGACGACACTAGGAAACTTGCTTGCTAATCTAATCCTTTGCTTTTGCAGCTATTAGATTATAAACATTAAAAAGGGATGTTGGATTTTGTGTTTTAATAAGCCTAACTTTATAAAGTTTCAATTCGTATAATTTGCGTTTGGATTATTGCGAGGAATAGGTTATAAAAATTTGGGTTTGTTTAGTTTATTGGTTTATGAACTTATGATTTGTATGTCTATACATGTATGTATACACGCACACCCGCTTATGATTGTAACAGCAAGAACATAATTTTCTCAATGCAATCAACTAGGTGTATTGTGATAATACGTTGGAAATGGTCGGGATAGCTTAGTTGGTAAAGCAGGGAAATGAAAATCCTTGTGTTGCCAGTTAAAATTTGGTTCTTGACACGTGATGGGAAAAGAGGTTGAATAAAAATATACTTAGCAATACCAAAACTAGGCGCAAAGAACCAAAAAGACCTAGTGGATAAATCATGAATACTGAAATAAGAACACAATTAAACCCGATAATGCAAAAGGGTTTGTTTTGATCGTTAAAAGTAGGTAATTCGTTTCCCGTGTCTTTGTTTCTATCATCAATAGTAGGTTTTATTACAGGACAATTCATGATGTCTATGTTGATCTATTATGCACCTCTACATCTAACATTAAGTGGATCTATAATCTAAGTTTCGTATGTTTAAATTTATATAACATAGATTTACTTAGTCTATGAGATTAATATACCTTCGAGACTTGAGAGTTATTAGTTTCGAACTACATAAACCATTAGTGACCCAAATACTCTCAAAAGTGGTGTTTGAAATTATTTTAGATGAATGATGGATCCTAAAAAAAAAAAAAATTTGATGCAAATGGGAATTAGCTGCTTTGATTATTCTTGGAGAATCTATGGACAAACTAAACTTAGTGGATTGAAGATCATAAAAGTTGTTGGAACCACCTAGGAGGAAACTCCACTTAATCTTGAGAAGACATTAGATTCGCTTTGTGATTGAGTTTAAATCATTTTGAAACTTTGAAATAGTTTAACATAATTCAAAAAAAAAATGGTAAAAATGTCAATATAAGTATAGCTAGGTTAAGACATCTTATAATCAATTTAAATTTTTATTTAAGTTTTTTTTATTGTAAAAAAAAAAGTTTTTAACTCCTATGGTTTTTTTAGTCTTTGAACTTTTTAAGAAATAACTATTTTGATTATTATTATCATTTTGTCGTCAATTTTACCCCACTCATATCATATGTAATTTTAGTATGTATCCGTGTCAACACAATAATTATTTTTTAAAAGCTCAGTAATTAAATAGGCATATCAAAATTCAAACACCATAATAAAATAAACTTAATTTAAACCAACAAAAGGTGGCAAAATTCATTCCTACAAATCAACTAAAAACGCCCATAAATCCTTTTTATCTTCTATCATCTTTGTGTTCATTTCACACCACGAAATAGTTTCTTTTCCCACATTCTCTCACTTAAATGAATATAGAATGAAACTTTCTTTTTAGTGCATATTTCTAGCCAATTGAAAAAGTAAAAAAAAAAAAAAATGCGGTACGTGTGAAAGTAAAAAGAATTTTATAATAGAACCATTCACACGTGTGGTCCCCCTCAAAAAAAAAAAAAGAAGAAGAGGGTAACTCACGTGTAGGGTTCAATGCACTTACTAAACTGTAATAATGTAAAAAATCATCATTAGCCATGCAGGGCTTTGTTATTATTATGTGAAATCATTATAAATGACCTCAGAAAAAAAAAAAGAAAAAAAAAAGGCTTTTTGTGGCCCATTAAAAGCCCCTCCCATTTTTCCATTCCCTCTTCTACCCCTTCCTTCCCCTTTTCATCCTTTTCCACCTTGTGGGCCATTTCAGTAATTCCATCTCCTCTCAATATTAAACCCTCCCTTTCTTTTCCCCTCAATTTTTCAAAATTGCCTTATTAACCCAAAGTAATTCTAGTGAGGCCCCTCCTATTATGTCAAAGAAAAGTTTGAGTCTAAAACTTAACTAGACTAATGTTTGGCCGACACCGTTCGATTTTGAAGTTTTTCTAACAGAAAGTTGATGTGTCATTAAAATCAGGGACGGATGTACGTTGGGTCCAGAGGGGGCTCGAGCCCCCCCTCAACTTCAGAATGTAGACTAATGATATATTTAGACACATGTAAACATGTTATTGGGACATGTCATTTGAAAAAGAAAAAAAAAACTTTGTTGATGGTGTGTAGATCGAATTTTGCCCCTGGACGAGTTGAATTTTAAACGTCAAAAAATTTGAGCAGCATGTACATCTATAAATTTTTGAAATATTAAAGGCTAATTAATTGAGAATTACCTAGCACAATAGTCACTATTTGAAATATTTTGTTATTTTTTTTCTTTCTTAGAGGGAGGTTTTTTTAAAATTTAAAATTTTTATTTTTATGAAAAAGAAATTAAATAAAATAAAAGATTTACTCACATCAAATGCTTTCTAATCCAACTCAATTAGTCAATTTTTGTAACTCCTTCTCCTCGGTCCTCTCCGTCACAAAATAATCCATCATCTCTCTTTCTTCCATATTTATAGACTACTTTTTTTAGTACAGACTAAAAATTCAAACTACTGATATTTTGGTCGTAATTTAGTATCTTGACCCGTTCAGTTTAAATTTAACTCGTTCAATATGTCATTTGAATTGAATAAAGGAGGAGAGAGAGGGGCATTAAGATTAGGATTACTGAGTCGAGGGGATGTGGTTGAATAATTGTAATTATAAGCAAAAATGTAAGAATTGCAAATTAATGATGATGATGATGGGTAGTGTTGTAAGTGTTCATCAATGCCTCTTTTTCTTCCTCTTCTTCCCCTTCCTCTCGTCATGCAAATCTCTGTCATCACCATTTATGATCCAACCTCCCCTTTAGCCTTTTACATCATCATCATCCCTATTTCACTTCTCTCTCTCCCCCAATATTACCCCACTAATCCCTACTTATTTCAAAACTCGAGTCGTTTGTAATCCTTGCTCTGTTGTGTCGATGTGATAAGCGTAACCCATCTCACGAAAAGTGTCGTACTCCATTTGTTTACACTATGATTTTGCATTTATAAAAATGTTTTAATGTTGGTGGACCCATATAATACTTAATATGATGCGTGGCAAGTAGTGGATGGAAGGAGAGTGTCTATACTCTCGTGGCATTAGAAATTTTCCCCTTCCTACACGTTCAAAATATTACCCCACTAATCTCGTGTCAATCGATTCATTCATAATCCTTGCTTCGTGTCGGTTGTGTGTCGATATGATAAGCATAAACCCATATCAGATTTGATATTGACCTTTTTTTTCCTCGAGATTGGAGTCGATAGCTCATTCCACGCTAAACCTTTATATACACACGTTATCTTTAAGGATGTTGCATTTAGTAGATGGAATCAGAAGGTCCCGAGTTCAAATGTTTGTCAATATTAAACTTTTTGATTCGATCAAAACATCCTAATCCAAGAGGGTGTTGAAAGACATCCAACGCGTATCGAAGTTATCGTATCTCGTTAACCTAAATTAAAATTTGGTGCCAAAATGAGAGTTGTGGAGGGGAAGAGACCCTTTATTTTAAGGGCATGTCATGATTGGTTTGTTGGCAGACCCAATTTATAAGGCTTTAGATTCATTGAGGCTATTTTAGCCTCCAAATTTACTTCTTTTGCAGACCCTCTTGTTTGCAGCCCCTATCATAGCCTTTGATGAACATTGGATTTTAAAGGGATGGCTTTTAATTTTCTTTTTAAAACACCCAACTTTGACCTCCAAAAATGAGAAATTTTTTCAGCAATTTCCAAGGGAAAAAAAATTATTGCTTTGCTTTCCCATCATGTCAATATTTCTATATATAGGAGAGTTTACCATTTGATGTAAATGTTTAATGGATATTTATTTAAAATAATGATGAAATATAAACAGACA